GCTCTATAATTTGGTGACAGAGGTGGAGAGAGAGCAAGAGGAGTCCTATAGCCCATTTCATTATTTCATGCATACATTTATTAAATATTTGGTAAGCATCTTCTATATACTAGGCACTGTGGTAGCACTGGGCATGCTAGATGCTTCAGCACTCTACTTGCTCCCCCATGCTGTGTGGAGGTGGCCAGGAAGCTGCCCTGTGCCTTGCTTATCTCTTAAAGGTTCTTCTCAGATCACCCCAAGTTCTGCCACAGTGACTAATTTCCCAGATGGCTTTCTGGAGATAGTCTTACCACAGGGAAGAAAAAATAACAAGAAAACAAAAAAACTGATGAACAGTGTACTCTTCATATGAAATAAATAAATATCTCTACATACATATATATGTGTATACATATATAAATATACATACATAGGATACTCTTCATAAAAAATAGACATATATACATATACGTGTGCATGTATACACATTAGTCTGATGTCAGTCTGATGGTCCAGTCCAAACTGTCATTACAAATTTATGATTGGACTTTTAACAGGCAAAGAGCACAGAGGACTAAGCCATTGAGCCATCGTTTTTGGAAATGTATTGTTCAGGACATTTGCTAATTTATTGATGCAGCAGCAGAGTTAGAATCAGATTCACATGAAGAATAAATTGGAATATTTTGGTGCATTTCTTTAAAAAAAAAAAAGCCACTTTAAAGCTTATGTATTAAAATGACAAAGTCTTAAATAGGGGTCTCTTTTTCTAAACAAAAGATATGCAAATTGCAATTCAAGATTTATATTATGATAAAAACGGAAATACAAAAGAGTCATTATCCTGCAAAATGTAAAAGTACATTGCTTCATGAGTCTGTAATGATATAATGGGATGTTGATGTAGTAAGAGGTGTCAGAAGGGAGACAATGACCTTAAAATTTTAAGTCAGAAACATTAGAATTGAACAATAAGTATCTACCTACCCACCTAACTACCCATCTATCTATTGAATGCTGCAGTTTTTGAAAATTTGAGATGAGGAATAGTCTATTTTTATCTTCTAATGTTGTAGCCATAATAGGATGGAGGAGGGGTTGGGGAATTACTTTTAACATAACCATTTCTACTCTGAAATTGGATAAAAATTTACCTTGAATTTTAGGTTTATAGGCCTGTTTCTCATAAAAATCAGTGGTGTGTTAGGAAGCTTGGAGACCATTTCTGGCCTAGCCATAGGGTCGGTGCCTTAACATCAAATGTCAGTGATTCCAGTGCTCTCTGCATAAGAACGACTTGCAGTTAGTTTGCAGGGTCTCCCACTGTTTAGATGATCAGAGTCATTTCCAATTGGTCGTTGTGTTTCCCTGAAGGAGGGTGGGTCAACTTAAAAAGACTGTATTAGAACAGCATAGATTTATTCTATCAAATCGCAGAGAAACTCCAGCAAACAGATACTTAGCTGTAGTTCCAACGCAGACACAGTTTAAGTAATCAAGTGATACACCACATGTGAAGCAGATGTACAGGATTGTTCTCTCTACTAAACAGAGCAGAATGTCTGCTTTAGCTTTATTTGGCAGAAATTTATATACTTGCTTCACGATTTGATCTTAACTTAAACAAAGGACGTTGGTCTCAGCCACCACTGATTTCAGGGCAATAGCTCTGTCTAATTTCTGAAAGGCAGCAGAATTGTGACACTTTGAAAATCAGATGGTTGCACAGTGTAGAAGTATCTTAAATGTTTATTTATTGTTTTAGTGAGCCAAACCCTCATTTTTTTGTTTCTGAGGGCGCAATGATTGCACTGAAAGTTGTAGGCAGAAGGATCTGACTTTTGTACAAATGTCAGAACCTTTGCAAAGCAATTCGAAGAACTTCAAGACAAACCCCAAAAAGCCAGGGACGCCAAATGAGGCCTAAGAAAATACTGTCAGACGGAACTCCTGATGATTTTCCAGTTCAAAACGTGGCTGAGGGTCTTCTGTCACGGCAAGCTCATGGTTTATGATTTTGGAGGCTGTGCAATGCTCCTTTCTATTTCATCTTGACTTAATGTCATTAGTCTTCCTTCACAGAAACCTGAGCGTTCATTTTCTAATCTATCTAGATGATACGCTGACAGCATTTCCCCTGATCGAGACTTTACCATTTATGTCTCTGCCTCTGTTAATCATGTTCAGAAATGAGATTTATAGTAAAAAGGATTAAATCAATTCTGACTACCTCCAAATTTCTAGGATTTCAGGGATTCTTGATGAACATAGAAACCATGGCCCCTTGGAGAGGCTTTGCTAAGAAGATCTTTCTTGCCTTTGTGAGCTGGCCTTTCAGAACTAGCCGTCTCTCTGTGGATCATAGCAAGTCAACTTCTCTATGTTTTGTTTGGCAGCCACACCACAGAGGCTCCCCTCTGAGCAACTCAAGCTGTTTTTGATTGGAAATAGATTAGTGAGCTATCAGTTTTCTTCTCCTTTATTCTCCATCTCTCCTTCTTTCTCTTCTTCCTAGTCCTAAGATGAGTACCCTTAGGCGATGTGTCAGCCTATTTCAATTAAGTGTTTATCTTTTAAGTTTCTTATCATAGGGTAAATTACGACATTTTTAGAAGCCAGGGTTGAAGAAAAAAATTATACCCATCCAAACTAAATCACAGCTTATAGCTTATTTTCTTCCTTTCCAATTTCTCTAATCTTCAGCTTACTTCAAATAACATCACTACTATGCATCAGGCTTTGTGCAAGGCAAGGAGCTTTCACAAATATAATCACTTTCCTTCTCTTTCTTCTTTCCATCATTCCTTCCTTTTTCTTTTTCCAGATACACTTGATTTTTCTTCACTGAACATATTTTTACATCCTCCCTGAATAACTTTGGCTCTCTTCCTCTTATACTCACTGAGACGTGAGTACAGGCATAGCATTCCCTGAGTTTCTCCCACCCCTTTTTTAAACATTGCCTATCTCATGAGGTGTGCTGTCTCAGCAAAATGACAGTGATCACACTGACTTATCCTTGATCATGTGTCTAGGTGATCAGATTCTGCGCATTTAAGTTCAACTGAACCACTACTTACTCACTGATAGTTGTCCTAAACTATCTGCTCCTGTGTCATTCCATTTGCTATCTCCTCCAGTCTAGATAGGCCTGTATTATAACCTCCTTGGTTTGGTTTCCTATGTCTGTCCCTGTTCTCAGATCCTTGGTCTAGGTAGACATTTTGTCTTCCCTAGCTCTTATCCTTATTACTACATAGATTCCAGGTCCTAGAATGAAACCTGAAAATCTTGTGGACGCTCCACTTTTGGGGGCCACTCTGCGCAACTGTCAGAAATACAATCAACTTATACCCACAGAGTCTTTCCCCAGTATCATCCTACTCCATTACTGTAGGGCTTACCACAGTCACCAGGTTTGGAGAGGGGAGAGTAGGTTAATGTGCCACATATTTTTGCCTCAATTTAGAATGTCTTATTTTCACCACTGTGAGCTGGCCCATGTCTGTATGCTCTAAAGTCACTTTTCCATCTCTCTAATCTCTAGTGAAGACTTAGTATTTATATGTGTAGAATTTGCATACCATACACACAAAGATTTCAGTGTCCAGGATCCCTGGCTATGGATGCCTGTGCTACTGCTCCGTGGTAAGTATACTTGGAGATGGTAGACACATCCTTCAATTTCGACTGAGACAGTATGGTGACATGCACACTCTCAGCTCTCCTGTCACCATGCCCTCTGCTAGTGTCTAGGGAACAGGCAAGAGCCAGACACTTTACTCATACAAGAAAAGTGGATTTTGCCAACACTTTCATATATGAAAGGTTAAAAAGGAATTTCACAAGTAATAGCCAGGCTACTTTACCCCCTTGTTAGTTGATAAAGAGGGATTTAGCAAGTAGGAAGAGACTGACAAATATTACTAACTTATAGTTTCAAGGCTTCCATGAATCAGATTATGCCCCTGGGGTGCTCGGTATCATCCATATCCACAATAAGCACCTGCTGTATGCACAGGACACTCTACAATCCACTGAAGATGCAAAGTGTCATAAAAGATGCAAAATGCTATAAAAGACAGCTGTTCCTTTCCAGGGGATTTGGATGAGTTCAAAGAGAAGCGCTATATATAGACTTAAAGGATAGAAACTATCATAAAACAGTTGTTTGGACAATAAGTACTAAAAGTGTTTCAAAGAGAGTACAATGACTGCAACTGAGACAATCAAAATGGAATTTTACTGGGGATCACAGCCAGCTTCATGAATATGAGCCCTGTGTAGTCTCAAGGAACTTCAATTTTGTTTTAATTCTCTGCTCTTGTCATTTTGAAATTCTTAATAATTTAATCTTTGAATTTGTGTTTTATAAGCAAAGTCCAAAGGGGGCACGCACATGAGCAGAGAAGACAAGCAAAACATGCGTGTCAATCTCTCCTTGCTGCCCTATTTGCATGTAGTATTCACAATGCCCTGTGAGCCTACAATTCTCGTGGACCTATAAGGTGTGGGAGTTAAGGGAGATTCAAAGCAAGTACAAAGTTAAGTGTGTTGTATCTATGACAGTAATTTGGGGAGGAAGGGGTGGGGTAGGGGGGCACTGACACCCTCTAGAGGCCATGCTTTTCGTTCCAGCAGAATTCTGGTCAGCTTCACAAACAGACCACAGAAAGAAGGCATGGAGTTCTAAGAAACACAAACAATGAAGGAACTCTATCGGATCTTTTCTACCCATATCAGTTCTGTGCGTTAATTGTTATACCCAGACCGTTTGTTTCCCAAAGAAGACCACCAGAGTCCAGAGTCAAAGCCAAGCGGCAAGGATCTTTACTACAAGTTCGAACTTGGTCCCTCCATTCCACAGCATACAAGAGGGCCTCGAACAATGCGAGTGCTTGCTTTTTATAGCCCGATGTAAACAGGATATGTAAAGTTACAGGGAACAAGGTAATTCTCTCGGTTACAGCATTACAATTGGTTAACATTATACATTTAGCATTCCTTATCGGAGATCTCCCAGGTGATGTTTTTCTGAAGTTTGAAAGAAATATGGAGGAATGTGTTTGTGCTGGGCTCAGGAAGTTGGGAGATATATGGGGGATGTGCCTCATTCCTTTCATAATCAATCACTTATACTGGAAGCGATGACGTGGAATGAAAAGAGATGACAGGCCAATCCATAGTTCCTTTTCCTTTTAGTCCATCCTTATTCACTAGTAAGCCGAAAGTAGAGTGGTAGTAGAATATACATGTGAAATAATGACAGTTGCATTTGTTTTTTTTTTTTTTTTTTTTTTTTTTTTTTTTTTTTACTTAGAATGACATTAAACAGAAAATTTTTTAAAAAATCATGACAATTCAAAAGAGAGACCAAGGAAGAAGGGAAAGCATTTTATAATTTAGTACATTTAATAGCACTTGTTTCCTGCATTTCGCAAAAGGCCTCCAAATTTTCACTTTGCACTGGGCCCCACAGATTAGAAAGCACTACCTAATGGTCTTGATGGAAAGATGGAACCTTGAGAAGCCAAGATCCTCTGTTGGAAGTAATATCTTTGTGACCTGAAATGGGTTTCCCTGATTTGGTCTATGGCTATCAAAACGGAAGTGTGAATACTCAAAAGTACTTATTCAATGCCACCATGTATCAATTTTCTTCTATTGATTCTAATTTTAGAAAGTTAAACCTATCCCAAATGTTTGATGAATTCTCAATTTTCTTCTCTTCTTTTTACTTTATGTTCTCTAATTTTTTATATATTCAGCTCTTAGATCCTCATCTGTAATTGACTTTGGGGTGAAGTGTAGAACCAGGAAAACTAAGTGTTTTCAATTTGCAAAATGCTCCTTTAAGACCTCAGCTGTCTGCTAAACCATATTAAGACTCCTGATTTTTATTTGTAAACTCCTTATAAACATTTCTTTTGATTTCTATGCATTTCCATCCCCTTGCTGTCCACAGCCTTGAACTCTGCTTGTATTCTACTACTCTTTTACCTGGGTTCTCAATTCCAACCCAGCAACCACCTCAGTATCTCCTTTATGGAATTTCCCTCTTCTACTCTTGAGTTACATACATCAACCTTTCTACCTGGAATAATCTCATACAGTATGATTACTCCTATTTCTCTCTTACCTCATTAAGAAAAATAGAGATTCTTCAGTCTTACTCCACTTCACCTTAACTACAGATCCACCAAAAACAAGTGGAAGTGCTTTATAACTACAAAGCACAATACGAATATAGTCCATAACATTAATGTCATTTTAATTATATGAATTAAAGTTAATGCTTACTTAGGGCTCACTCTATGCCAGACAGTGTTCTAAATTTTATATATATTAATTCATTTATATTCTCACAATGACCCTTTTAAGGAGTTACTAGTATTTCTCACTTACAGATAGCAAAACAGGCACAGAAAGGTTAAGCAACTTGTCAAACAGCTAATAAGTAGTGGAGGTGGATTTCCAACTCAGCAATACCCTTGTTTTGCCTTCCTAAGGAGAGATGCTGAAAAGTGTCATAATGTCATTCATAGCTTAGTATGCAATAATACTGATAAATTAACATGCATTTACCTAGGCTCTAAGTCCATATTTCCAAGAGGAATGGGGAAGCAGAACTGAATAATCTTTACATCAGGAATTGCCTGCCGGAAAAATCCACCCACTCTTTGACTCTATGATTTTGTCTTGTTCCATTTTGTTTTTTAAATTTGGAGAACAGACTTCTCGGGGAAGTCAGATTTTACTTTGATTTTCCACCAGAGACTGGAGAGTGGAGAGCCTACATGCCTTTGCTGTCTCCCACAGATGCTTGTTCTAGCTGTGTGACCACCAGCCTACATGACTGCACTGCAATCCACTTGGAACTTCCTAGCAGGACCACCCAGAAGCTGCAGCTGGTGCAGAGTATGTGGCCGCCTGGCCTGTTTACATGAGAATGTGAGCCTAAGGAAGTGGACAGTACCTGCTTTCTGCTGTCAGCCAAAGCCTCCATTCCCCTGGAAAGACCCAGTGTGTAATCTAGAGATATTCATAGGTTTTAGCCCTAACTATTCTCCAGACTTGGAAGTGTTCCCTTCCCAACGTTGGAGCAGCTTCTCCCAGGATGCTTGTCACATGTCCCAGTCCAGCAGAGCCAGCTGTAGCTTTGGAAATGTGGGTCAGACAGACTCCAAATGTGCTGATCCTCAGATAGACCACTTTGAAAGAGCCATTTTCTCATACAAAGACTTTCCATTGAATCATATCCCATGCACTATCTCAGGCTTCTCAGAAAGCAACAACACTTAACTTGTGAGAAAAAAAAAAATAGAAAACATGTCCTTAAAACCCTTTCCTGTATCTTTTGTGGGCAGCCAAGTTCATGCCTGGCCACCACCCCAGGAGGGCATTTGGCAATAGTCACAGCTGAAAGCCTTTCTAGCCAGATGAATGACAGTGTCCGGAAAAGCTGACCTGGGGGCTGAGTGGTGCCTCTGGAAGCAAGTTTTATAGAGCTGTTAGCAACGCCTTTATCATACTCCTTAGGTAACAGATTTATTGCTGAACAGGTTATCCTTCCTCTATGTTTTTGTAAATCAAATCCTTTTTAAAACTTTGTTTTGGAACTCTTTAGAGAGCTCACAATTTAAAGAATTTTTGTAATGGACCATTTTATAAAATCATGGGAATAATCACTCCTTCGGCCATCTGCTTCCAGAGTAAGTTCAAATTTTCAAAGATAAAGTTGTCTTAAGTTGAGGGGGACCTGTATTAACAGCTCTGTCTCGTCTACTTTGTCCTTTTAAATAGGCTACTCCACGCTCTCTGTTGCATGCTACAAACAGGCCCTGGGGAAGAGAGATGAGGAGTAAAGCCTAGAGATAAATGTCACAAGTGGTTGAGGCTTTTTCTTCACTGTTAGGCACAGAGCACAGATTCTTCTGAGGCTGAACCTTGAGAGGAAAGGCAAACCAAAATTCATGGAATTAGTACTATGTAACAGGCATTTAATCTCACAACAACCCAGCAAGGGAAGAAGGAAATAATAATACTCAGTGAATCCTACTACCTACTGGGAATGAAGGTGGTAGCTTTACAGTATATTTTTTCATTTAGTCTTTACAATTAGGATTGCCATACTCAGTAAATAAAAATATAGGGTATCTAGTTACATGTGAGCTTCAGATAAACAATAAATAGTTTTTTAGTGTAAGTATGTTCCATACAATAATGGGGACATATTTATATGAAAAATATTATTATTTATCTGTAATTCATATTGAACTGGGTGTCTTGTTCTATCCTACTTATAATAATCCTAAGAAATAGGAATTATTATTTCTATTTTATAATTGAGAAAAGGAAAACTCAGAGTCATTAAGACATTTGCCCAAGATGTTAACTAATGTCAGAGTTAGGATAACAGTCTAGTTCTGTTTGATTCTAAATCCTACACATTAGCAACTCCTCAGAAAGTCCCCTCATCCTAGCTAATACAGAGGATTCGTTTTTAGTTAGCTGAATAAACCACCTCAAGAAAAAGGGCTAATTTCAATTTTAAATACTATTTATTAATGATCTACCTGGTCCAAAATCCTGTATTGGGGCTGGAGAGAAGAAAGAATGTGCTACCAAGATTATTTAGGAACCAGGGCCTGCCCTCACAGAAAAATATAATGAAGTGGGTAAGATGGTTGAGAGAGAAAGAAAAGGAAAACAGAGGGAAGAAACACTCAACATGTTACTCGGTCTCACATTTTTAAACAGGAAAGTTGGTGTTACAGTTGATTCTGCTTTAAAACCTTGAACTAATGGTGAGGTCCCCTGTAGAGCATCTTATGCAGGAAGGGGTGTTGAGTGAGGGAAATTGATGGTCATCCTCAGTGTCTCTGAGGAAGATCTCTTCCTGCAGATCAGCATCTGCCTTTCTGGAGTGTTCCCGGCACCTTGAGTCTGTGGCTCCAGGTCACTTAGTGACTTTTAGGGTCCTGCAGTGGTTTGGCTGTCACACGGCTGACCTCATGGATGACCAGGGAGACCTTGGCTCGGCTGTCTAGTGAGGAGACCGCCTCTTCCTTCCCTCACTGCCCATAGCTGCCAGCTTGTGTGATGAAATTGATCAGGAAAGCTTAAAAAGAAGGCAGAATCCAAGGCAGCAAGTATGAGAAGCTCAAAAAATAAAATAGTTTCATCATAAAGTTATATTTGAGTAGCTCATGTGTGTCACGCATTGTATCAGCTGTGTTTCATGAGCATTATTCCCAAACATCACAAGAATACAATAAGGTAGGAATTATTATTTCTGTCTCACGGATAGGAACACTGAGGTTCAAAGATGTTAAGGTACATGCTGAAGGCCACACTGTGCACACGAATGTCTGCTCTGAAACTCTCCTCTTGTACAGCACTGAGCTCTCTCCTTAAAATGAAGGGGGCAGGTGGGTGCAAGGGAACTGGACTCCTTCTTCCCTCCAGACAGGCAGGGAAATTCACACTAAACAGCAAAGAGAAAGAGGAAAGGCAGAACCTCAGCGCAAAGAAGCAGACCTGAATGTAATACCATTCTCTCTTATCTCTAAATTGAAACCAGGGGTATACATGCCCACTTTTGTAGCTAACATAAAAAATGGAAATCAACACTGTGCAAATGTATATCTAATGGTATAGCTTACGGTGTGATTCCCTTTCCCCATATCATTTTACAAAATAAAAAAGATCAGGGAAAAGAAACGTAGAAATGGACAAAGAAAGAAAAAAGCATATATATATTTTGCTGTTATAGTAAGGGCCTTTTTAAAGTCGAAATTCTGTTTTCGATAAGAAAAAGCTTTTAAGAACATTTTTTATGTAGCATTGTTTATCTGTATTTATAGTCCATTTCTTCCTTCACTTTGCTTCTCCTATACTACAATGCTAAGTTTCCCTTCATATTTTCCCAGTGGTTAACATTCTGCTTCTGAAAATTATCCATTAAAATTTTATCAATTTTGTATTTTGGTGAGACAGTATGAGGAAATGCCATTGTGAAATTAGATTTTTTCTTTGACATCAGGCGCCCAGTCAGCAATCCAATCCCATGTGTTTCTATTGAGACATTAGGGTTTGATATAATTTTGGGCAGAAAACATTTTAAAAATGAAACAATTGAATTTTCTAGATGGTCTTGGGGACCACTTAGCTTAAGAGAATACACTTCCAAATCAAAAGCCTTTCAATCATTTTAAATATTATTTGGATGATATTTGCTCTGTGTGTAGTAGCAGTTTGAATTTGTATTGAATGTTTGACCGGCTCATGCACACATAGATGATGTATGAAATTATTATTTCATATTTTTCTAGTGTTTGCATTGCAAGTGACATCTGGCTGACAGGAACTTGGAGAAATGGGATACGAAGTGAATGCTGCAGTTACCACAAGCATCATATTTATCAAAAGGTTTAAGGTTGGCCCGTCTTTGTTTAACATACGAAACTTGGAACAGTGATGAGGAAGCAGCATGTTTTGGTGTGGCGTGCATTTTTTAACTGAGCTTTTTAGTAAAAGGGTAGTCAAAGAATAAACACTAATTGTATTATTTGTTCTGCTCATGAAACTAAATATTATACATCCTAATTTTAAGAAAATAGACTTAAATTAGGTTTAATATAATTTTCATACATTTTGCCTTTATTCAGAGAATTTGCAGATTTCATATGAGAAGAACATGCATATTGAGCACTATTCATCATTACTCAGAAAAGGCGATGTGGGAGGACAAAAAGCTCAACCTCATTTTTAGTTTTATTTTCTAATTTGTAAATGTGCAAAATTGAAGTAAGACATGTGATACATAGTACAATATCTGCAAGCTCTGACTTTGCTGTAATACACACATACAAATATAAGCATTTTCCTATTTTCCCTTTTCTTGGAAATCATGGGGCAAATTATTAATTAAGTCATGAGAAATATCATTCATTTAACAAAGATTTATGAGCCTACCATGGCCTGTGGGCTACCCAGGTGCTGGAGATATGCAGAGGAATATGACAACCCCTGCTCTTAATAAACTCACAGTCAGGTGGAAGGGGAGGTCACTATGAAATAACTAAGTACAGTATAAGGCTATAAATACCATGAAAACAATATGGAAGTATTGATAAAGGGAAGTAGATGGTAAGAGTGGTCCATCTGCCACAGACAGGTAGGGAACAGAAAGCGCAACATAAAAGCCATTTTGAAATCCTCTTAGTGTATCCAAGTAAGACTCACTCATTGTTTGAAATAGGAAAACAGAAAGATGGTAAAAACTCATCCCAGCTCTTATCACCTAAAGACAAATACTATGAACATTTCCATCTAGTGTTTTCCAAATCACTATTCTTTTTTAGTTTTGAAAGCATTGTGATAATACTGCAAATATGATTAATGTATGAAAAAAAGCTAAGCTGCTTTCAAAGAAAACATAAAATGTCATCATTTAATGCATTTCTATGTTAGTTTAAACTGGATATTGTCTATATAACAATGTCCATATAACAATCCAATTGATTGTCAATACCATAAATTAGCCATTACTCTATTAGGATGTTTACCTTGTTTTTCATCTCCCTCAACCAACAATAAATTAGTGACTTCTAAGAAAAAAGGCATTCAGGAGAAGAGAGAGAGATCTCCAATGGTGGGATTCCTGGCACCAAAGTAAGATGTGAAAGGGGTAAGTCACATCTTACCCTTTTCAACATTTATTTCAACATTTATTCAGCATCTGCTACTGTGCTATGTACTTTGGATGTGTTAATTTGTTTATTGCCACAGGAATCCTGATTCAAGTGTAGTATAGTGAAAATACACTCCAGATTCACCTAGGGCGGAGTTCCAATCTAATTCTTAGCTTTGTCCAGATGTGTGATTTCCAAATTTAGCTAATCTCTCTGACTCTCAGATTCCTCATTTATGAGTTGGGCAATATTATCACTCATTTGTTTAATTATATGAAGCCCACATTAGGTATATATGTATATTACGTGTAGGGTATCTTGACAGGCAGGAAATGTAAGATAAGTATAATATGTCTCATGTCTTTAAGAAGCTTACAGCCTCATGGCAGAGTCATTCATGGGAGCAGGCCTGACAGGTCCCGGGAGACATATTCTTCCTGGTGGAGTAGCATTTGGTCTGGATCTTAAGTAATGAGGAGCAGGTTTTATCTCATGGTTCTTCAACCAAAATGTTCATCTTCTGATAATCAATCAATCAATCAATCATGTGCCCAGTGCTGTGCATATTTGTTCTGTTCCCTGTTCTGAATAAGCTTACCAAGTAGTTTCAGTCCTAATGCCTAGAAGAATGTGGCTTCTGATTCATAGATTAATACACTAACCTATTTAAGAAGTGATTGTGTTGGTTCAGAGGTGATTGGTTTCTACCAGAGCCTTTCTTTCTAAAAGATGTGCTCTTGTGAACCTTGTGAACAGAGGGTTCTGTCACTCTATTAGTAACCATCTTTGGACACTGTATTTTAAAAACCTCATTAATCTGAATACAACTGTTACTGTTGTATACCTAGAATAACTAGGTTTCACAAATGGACAATGGTATTAAGCAAAATACAGACATACTCTAATCAGATTTGGGACTGCAAATGTTAAGTCCGTCCCTGCTAAAAATTCCTGAATCTAAAATTAAAGCTAGAATACTCAGACCTAATGGCAAGTTTTCAAATGCTCATAATTTAGCAATTTAAAATGTTTCAGAAATCATGAAAAATGTCATTTGAACCAAAAAGATAATTTAGCAAATTTTTGTCTCTCTTCTCCTACCAAAATTTTATGCAAAAGTGTATCTGAAAGTTCAACAAATGTGGGAAAGCAAATATATGTTCAAATTTCATTAATTAACTACAGTTTTAAAATAAAACTATTTACAACTCCTATCTTCTGTAATGAATCAATGGTGTATCAGTTAGCTATTGCCATAAAGCTGCTGCATAACAATCTGCTCCAAAATTCAGTGGCTTAAAACAAACAGCTCATCTATTTTGCTTTTGAGGGTTGACTTAACTGGGATTTGGCTGGCCTAGGCAGATCATGGCTAGTGTTGACTCTATCCCATGTATCTCTTATCCTTTTCTTGGGACTTGTGGGTTAGTTAGTTAGACATATTCTTATTTTAGTGATGGAAGAGTCACCAAAGTTTGAGTCCAATCACCCAATCATTTTTCAAACCTCTGTTTGCATCACATTTGCTAACATTGTTCTGACCAAAGTATGTCATTTAGCCACACCCAGAGCCAGGCTGGATGGGGCACTGCAGAATTACAGGACAAACAGCATAGATGCAGCAAGTGGGGAAGAAGAGGGGCTCTTAGGGTAATCTACCCTAAATGGCTGTGGCATTTTACTACAAAGAAGAATGGCATCTAAATTCAGTGAGTTTTTATTTTTTAATTATCATGTATTTAAAGCCTTCTGTATCCCAGGCATTGAATTTTTACCTCATTATCTTTCTGCAATCCAAAATATATTTCAACATCTCAATTATGCAGATGAAGAAATGGAGGCCCAGCAATGTCGAGTAATATGTTGAAGCTTTCATGACTGATCAGTGGCTGAGTCTAGAGTTAAATCCTATCCAGGGACTCTGGGCTTTGGCTTCTGTTCTTTCTACTATGTAATGATGACTCTATTCAGAATTTCAACTGTAAAATTTAAGAACAAGAAGAAATTTTTAAAATCTCATCTAGTCTCCTTATTTTGTAGATGAGACAACAGAGTTCCAGAGACACGATTTTTCATATTTTTATCTTACTAATTAGTTAACAAAAAAAATCTAGTGACTAGAACCTGGATCTCCCAATTCCTCATTTACTCGTTATTTTATACATATTTTTGTCATTGGTCATACATTTACTGAGTACTTACTATGTGCCAAGCACTGTGGTGATCAAGTCTTCTATTGCTGAAATCATATGCTGATGGTAGAAATGAAGAGAAATAGAAGGTCATGTGTGTGCCTACTATGTGTCACGGTGGGTGTCTTTGTTTTCTAAAATTTACCAAAAATAAAGTTCTCAAGTCCTGCATCAATCTGTTTCTACCAAAATATAGGACAGTTTTTCTTTTTGACCCTGATCACATTCTACATTTCATAGAGGCCAAGTTGGTCTTGGAGGCGGCAGAAGTTGTGCAGGCAGCCGGAGCCTCACTGCTGCTCAAGGTGGGCATCTAGCTCACGTTGGCAGCTGTGTAACAACTCCGAAATCATACAGCTGCCAGGCCCCACCTGAATTAGAGCTGACCTTAAGATGGATTTTGTAAACCATTTAAATAGATCTCTCCTTTTGGAAAGTTTTCAGAGTAAAAAAGAAGAAAACAATAAAATGTCTCCAATTTGCAGACCCTACCTCTGAGATCTGCTACATGCAGCCTTCTTACTCTCCCCAGCACTGAATCATGATCCCCAGTGGGTTCTAAAGCCATACGACTGATGGAAAACAAGTAAAACATGGCTTGGAACTGCCTGCATGGAACAAGAACTGCCCTCTCCATGTTGCTGGGCCCATTGTATTAGCCCTGGGAGACAGAGGAGAATGTGGAAGAAATTTGGAGGCAAACCTGGCTGGGTATGGAAGGTGTTGGGGCAAATCATTTAGTGATTCCTTTTTGGGGAAAAAAAAAGAAAGAGCACCACCCAGGCCAGGGTCTGGTATGTAGCAGGTGCTCAAGAAATAGTTGTTGAATGAATGACAATTGAATTACATTGTCTCCTCTACTTCTGTTGCTTATCTAGTTACCTTTCTCTTGATTTTGGAGAAAGCCTGTTCAGAGACTTGGTACTGCATGGAGGATAATGCTTTCAGCTCCGTGTTTAATCATTCAAACAATATGTTTGAGTGTTTACTGTGTTCCAGGCATTGAGGGTATGATGGTTTGCAAAACCATATGTAATTGCTACTTTCATGGCACTTGCAATCCAATGAGATAAATCAGACATGGGTTTTGAATCCTTATCCTGTCATTCACTAACTCTTTAACTATGGATGGCTTATTAATATCTTTGTGCCTCAGTTTCCTTATATACAAAAAACTGTAATAATAGTACTTAATTAAATTTATATACATATATACAAAACAGAATATTGTCTGCTATTTAATAAGCACTGTATAAATGTTTGTGAATATCTCATATATTGCTGGGAGGATTAGATATGAAAATGCATGTAATGAGCTCAGCATGATGTGGGCACATATGAAGAACCTCTCAATAGATTATTATGAACCTATTATGTGTAGCCTTAAGCATTCTAGCAATTCTAAACTTGAGGTAGAAGAGGTGGGATGTGGTGGGGAGTGGATCAGAGGGAGAGTAACATTAGGTCCCGTGCAACTAAAAATCCATTTTCTTTTTTCCTTTTCTTTTCTTTTTTGAGACAGAGTCTCACTCTATCACCTAGGCTGGAGTACAGTGGTGTGATCTCGGCTCACTGCAACCTCCACCTTCCGGGTTCAAGCCATTCTCCTGCCTCAGCCTCCTGAGTAGCTGGGACAACAGGCGTGTGCCACCAAACCCAGGTAATCTTTTGTATTTTTAGTAGAGACGGTTTTTCACAAAATCTATTTTCTTAATCTTAGGCACTGAACAACACATGCACACACACATAGAAGCTGCACATCCACTGCATATCTGCGCATCCTTTATAGCACTATTAAGGGCACATTTAGGAGGAGAGGTGCCTGTGTGTCCCTAAATTAAATCTTCCTAAAAGCTGAAGCCTGTTTTTGTGGATTCACTTCCATCTGATGGACACAGTTATTCTATCAGACCCCGCTAAAACACAGATGAAGGGAATTTCCCAGAAAGACCAGGAAAAGATGCTATACCAGGTAGGGGATCTCTGGGCAAGTGGGAGGGTCAGCTTCTACCCCAATTCAATCTTGAGGGACTCTTTCCCATCCTCAGAGTCTGTCAACATCTGTAGAATGATGTATTTTCCTTCACACTCATACTGTTTTTGTATATCAAGTGTTTCTTACTCAGTATTGCCCTGTTCCTTTGGATCCAGTGAAAGCATCAGAGATCTGCCATTAATCATTCTTAATTTTATTCCCTTCTTTCTTTCCCACTGGACTCCTACTAGAGCCTCTCCTTCTGTACATAATCACTCCGACCTGTTATTTCTCCTTCTCGGTGGGTTTCTTCCTCCATTTGAATAGCTCACTCATAAACAGCATCATTGAGACTCAAGATAAGTAGATGTACAAGTGCCTCTGTACTTGAAGCTTCCCATCTGGGCAAATCCTCATCCTCTCACTGAAGCATGTCTATGACTTAAGTTTCCATAGCCCTCTTTAGCAGCAGCAGAACGCCTGCTCCCTCCTCCCTTCAACTGCACACCAGCCAATGTGGCACACATTACATCAAACTTAGGCCCCCAAATGGCCCCACCCCAGCCTCTCCCCCAGCACATGTATGCACTGGTAAAACAGGGGAGAAGGGACAATAAGAATATTAGAAGACACCTCTAAGAGCCACAACATAAAAGAGCACCTTAAGTAACAGTACAAACAAGAAAAACTATTACTATAAGCAAATTCCAAAGGATTGTTCTCTATATTCACAAAAACCAGGAGAGGAAGAAAACAGCCTTATTCTGCAGTAGGAGAGAGTTTTGCTAAACATACAGAAGAACCACTTGACAGTGGAGATGAACAAACCCAGAAGCGAGCCACCCCATAAGTTCTTGAAAGCTGCGTTATAAAATGAAAAACAACAATTTATTTTGAATGGTAGAGAAAGACTTTCTGGGAGATGAGGTTGGGAGTGGGGTGGAGTTGGACTACACAAACACATATAATCTTGGAACTGGAAGGGACGTTCAGGGTCTGTACCATCTGTTTCACAGAAGAGGCACAGAATAAATTTGCCCAAGGTTACAAGGCTAGTTGGTGTTTGATATTCCAGACTTCCTAACTCCAAGTCTAGTGCTCTTTTCAGAGCCCCAATTTAACTTAGAAATTGTGTCCCACTTTAAGATGATTTTTTTTTAGAAGGAGGAGAAGAAAGAGGAAGAGGAGGATTGAAACAAACAAACAAAAATGATGGATGGTTGGTTTACCATTATGGATCCTGGTAAATCCAGGATGTGTAAAAGATAATCCTCTCTCCTGGGAAGAAGAAACAGTTAACAGGTGACCATTAACCCTGAAGCCTAATGCTAAACCAGGGCCTGTGAAGACTTGCAGTTATCTTCATTTTGTTGTTTAAAAGACTGGGTTCCATAGGCAGAGACAGAGCTATGCTGAATAGCGACACTTACCATTTGCTCCTCCAAACACATTCTGTAGGAAGGCGTGGGATTTCACAGCAGTGAGAGCAAAACTATTCACAGCAGTACCATATGCTCCCCACCATCAGGAGCGGCGGTACTGGTCACTGGACTTGGCAGGCAAATCAGCTGAATGGAAATTCTGAAGACCACAGTAGGAGTTTTCTCTTTGTGGGTTTTGGATGGTAAAATCTTCAATCTGTTCCACAGGCAGAAATCAGAGTGAAAAATAATTCTACACAAATTGTGAGTGTATGTGTGTGTGTGTGAGGACGTGAATGTGTGTTACTTCTAGAAAAGTTAAGGGGAAGCAAAGGCTTGGTGCTCATCTTGCACACTATCTTATAGAGGTAGGAGGTCACACACTGAATGCAAAGAGGTAAAGACTGAGAACGCAGAAGATAGAGAATTATTTTTAGTATAAATTCCATGTTTTCCATTTTTTACCTCTAAGAAAAAAAGCAAGATTGAGAAGAATTTCCCAAATGCCAAGACCATTTAATAGCAGAATTACAACCGACGATAAATGCAGCACTTTTTAAAGCTTGTCCTTTCTCTGTTATTAACTTTGTTCTTTCAGTTGTGCCAGAGAAAGCACAAGAGATAGAAATTGGCAGAAATATGGGTCTGAAGAACAGAAATTCAACTCAAATGAAAATACCGTGAAAACCTCTAGTATAAAAAAAAGTCTTTTGTTTAATAGCAAAACTTTCATCAAGAAAAGGTTTGTTTGAATTAAATGTAAAATTTAGGACAGTCTATCATCTAATCATTACTAATTCTGTGCACATAGGGTATTCTCTATTTCCAAAGTGGTTTGCAATCATTAGTTAATCCACCCAGCATGCTTAGTCTAAATTGTATATATGTATATGATGGATAGGGAGAGTTGCTGGGGAGAGGCAGCATGGCCTAGCAGGCTGAGTAATGGACGGGTAACTCAGAGCTGGGAGTTCTCATTTTCACCACCTGGTTAGTCTACAGTGGGAGCCAAGAGTGCACCCACAGGACTCTTAAGACAAGGAAGCAACTTGTTTCAAAAATACATACAGGTATGATATAAAATACCTTTTCCAACAATTGAGGCCCTGAGTTTCAATTTTCTATTAAGTCCCACTGGCATCATGTAGGTCCAGTCTCAATTTTCCCCATAGGTAAAACATTTTTAAAGGCCAGTCTTTCTGTAAATAACTATATTGAGAGGCAGCACAATTTAATAAGATACCTGTAGATGCTCACCAATGTCCTTTTTAGCATGTGGAAACTGTCCAGAAAATTTAAATGCATTGGAATAAACCAGTGGTGTAATTTCCTTCCCTCTTATTTTTGGCCATCAATAATACTAACATATATTGTTATCTGAGCTTTGCCAATTTCAATTTTTCTGTTGAAAAGGAGAATCCTCTAAGCAAGATATTGCTTTTAAGTGTTCTAATGTAATTTTTTCAAACATGAACCAAATGCTGGTGCCCAGCAGAGCTTGTCCACATCATGCCTGGATTCCAATTGCATAGCTTTCCTTTATTTTCATTTGTTTGCTCCTACCCTATCCAAACACATTAATTTGTAGTTCAGATAATGTATTCCATATGTTTAATTAGCCATTACATGAAATGTGGGAAGGTGGGACTTTTAAAATGCATTCGCCATTTCTCCCAGTTTCCTGACTGTTAGCTCACATTCTCTGATGGTGTTTGTTTGTTTAATTATTTTCACAATAAAGAATCTGTCTCCAACAAAAGTATCTAATTACTTCAAGTTGTAGATTTTCTTTGGATAATGCAAATTTAGTTTATTTTATACAGTTAAATTAATTCTGCCCTATCTTATAAAACATATGTAATATAGTCATTGCTCAATAAATAAATACTCATAATAAAATATAACTTAAATAAACTAGTATTAAGGAGTTCTCCTTTATAAAGTTTCTGGATTTTTAAAGTGCATTTCAATGTCCGTAAATTTCCAATTTTTTTTCTACATAGTTTGGTTGGTGAAATACTAATTTATTAACAGATGTCAAATTTATCTCAAGTATGTCCTACTGATGTCAAAAAAATGACCAGCACTTCATTTGGCATATATTCAGAAATTCTTAACTCTTCCTAATTGATTAACAGTAATAACAGCCCCTGGAATGCCCCCACCGAGTCCGTGGCCAGCCTCACGGTGATTCACTATGGCGTCACTGGGAGAGATGAAGCCCAGGGCTGCAGTGGTGCCAGTTCATGCCTTTTCAGTGAGAAAGAATGCAGGTTACACAGAGTGTTAATCTAGCCACAAAATGGGAGACGGTTAAGTCTGCCTGGAATGTCTGGCTGCTGGTTGGCAGACGCAGCCCTTTTTTCACCTTGGATCTGCTGGGCTAAGGATGCTTTCATAGTAATTTTCCAATGTCTTCCTTGATCAGTAGACTGCAGCATTTTATCATTTTGCAGATTTTGTTTTCTTCATGGGTTATTACTTCCACTGAACTGCACTTAACATCTATTAGCTTAGGTCTCCAGAAGATCAAAGCCCCTCTGTATCTGATTATTCTGCTCTTTGCAATTTGTGTCTCCCCCTCACCCTATCCCCTCCCCACCAAGGCAGGAGCCTTGCACGTTTACAGATTTGGTTTCAGTGCTTTCCCCAAATCGTTTATAGACATAAAAGCATCATAAATGGGACATCATGTCTCCAGAAAGAAAATAAGAGAGAAAAAAGTGAAGACAGCAATAGTTATTCTTGTATTATTTCCATCTCAAAATGAATCTTTTAAAATTCATGTTTAAATATTTTTCTTTTTGAAATGAGACGGGTGAGAGAGTGAGGATGAAGTACTAATGTCACAGAATTATGCTAATGTCATAGAAACAAAATTCTTGTTGAGATTTATTCTCTTTACTAAATCACTCTACCCCACTCCCACTCTTCCAAAGCCCCGTCCCATCTCCTTACATTTTAGTTTAAAATATTTGCGTTGTCTCTTTCAGGAACCGGTCCACAGGGCCAACATTCCGTTCATTTTATGGTTTACTGTTAAGGTAACCTTAATAAGTAGGTTCTGATGGAAGATTTTATTCCCTTTCTGAATCTTTAGTAAATGATAATCATTCTCTAAATTTGGTCTCACCGCTGTGATGTACCAAAGATCCTCTGTCAAATGTCGACCCTGTCTCAACAATAGGCCAAAGCTGGCCCCATCAAGGCATTTGCACTGGCCCTAGAAAGAATATTTTTAGAAGCTACATAAGAGGCCCAGTGTACATCTATCAGCAGACTTGAAGTGGGTGCTTATAAGTTGAGATAAGTATTAGAAACTCAAACTATGTTTGGCAACTTAAAAAAAAATTAACTCTAAGGAGATTTGAATCTGAAGAGATTATTGAAATAAAGACCCAGAGCCTTTTTTGCAAGGATATTTCCTTGTCAGAAATACTCAACACCATTCTCCATGGTGAATAAAGAAGCCAAAGCAAGAAAGGAGAGAGAGAGAGAGAAAGAGAGAGAAAGAGAGAGAGAGAGAGAGAACGTGTGAGCTACAGCAGGACTTCCCAAACCTGAATCTGTGTGCAGAGCCCTTAGGGACCTTGTGGAAATGAAGACTATGATCCAGCAGGTCTGGAGTGGGATCTGAGAGTCTAAAATTAAATTACTCACCAGTGATTCAGATGCTGCTGGGCCCAAGACCACATTTCAGTAAAAAGTTAGTGTTTCCTTGTCTCCCTCCACAAATCTGACACTGCAGAAGGTCCCTTCACTCCGCCTGGCACACCTCAACCCGTTGTGAAACACTAGTCTCTGAAGAAGGATGAGGAGGAGCCCTAGAGCAATGGCCCTTAAACTTTGCTACATATTATAATTCCTTGGGAGATTTGAAAACTCTCCATACCCAGACCACACCCCATATATCAATTAGATCAGAATCCTTAGGAATGGAACCCAGGAATGAGTATTTTTAAAAGATTCTCCATGTGATTCCAGTGTACAACCATGTTTGAGGACCAACAGCTTAAATAAAAATAACACAAGGAGAAAAAAATAAAACAGTCAACATGTGTTGGCTTCTTCTATACAAATACATGGCTTTGTGAGAAATATATACCTTTTTGTCATTGAATCATTATAATAAATCTCATTTACAGACCAGGAAACTGAGGCAGAGATTCTGTAACTTGCCCCCAGGAAGAGCTGATAGAGCTTAGATATTCTAAGATAAGAAGGATGATGGAGGAGTGGAGAATCTGCTGGTTAGTCACATTTGTGTGTGAATTCAAAATTTTCTTCTGTTTGTATAGTCGATTTTAACCAACAGTTTGGTAGTGCCATTTAAAAATGTCAATCACCCTTTTTTGTACTCCCCCACCCTCAAAAACCTAACACTGCCTTCCTAAATCATTCATTGCCTTTTCTCACATTTGCCATCTCTTCTCCTGGGCATGTTTAGGGTCCTAGGCTCTAGAGCTAAGGTGAGTTGTCTTCAGTTGCTGGCTCCTGGAGCTGACCTGACTCCATAAAAGTGAGTTATACTTTCAGTTCCTTTGACCTCTCTTGCCCCTAACTGGGCAGCAGGGGGAGCTATGACTACCAAAACAAAACAAAACAAAACCAAAAAACACCTGTGAACTGCCCCTAGATATGATTTTCATGTCCTTCCCTAAAGGAAGTTTATCCTCACAACTCTTCACCTCAAAGCTAATGCCTACTGCCTCAAACCCCAGAGACTGGGTGAATAGCCCATCTAGGCATGCAGATAGCAGTGAAATCAGAAATTAGCAAGCTCTCATGGGGCCCAAAAATGCAGAGACAACTGAGAGGAGTCACGGCCACTCAGTAGTCGGTGTGATCAAGGTATAGTTCAGCAAGAAGACATAAATAGTAAATTGCATCTTCCTGAAAGGTGTTTCTCATTCAAGAAGGACCAAACAACTATGATAAAATGTGTAAAATACAACCGTGAGCTCCCCTTTTTAACTCTGGCCAATGACTTGAATAGTAATTTTTATATCAGTCCTCAGTTTTCCCAAATTTAAATGGGTATATATCAGGCTAATAAATATTAACTTAGGTTGTAACTTAGCTTATAACTGTATTAGAGGACATACGGTTTGGTTATAAGTCAGGAATCCCCAAACAACATTACCATATTTGAGGAAAATTGGAAAAATCCTAGAAAGAGAACATTCTTTTAAAATTCACAACAGGGCAGGATGCCAATTTACCCCTAACCATAAATCCAGAAAGGCTGTTTCCCAAGCCTGAGACAATTTTCAAAATTGCTGCAGCTCAGACCCACAGACCATGATGTTTACTGAGGAGATCAAGGTATGTTACTATAACCACATGAACACGTTTAAATAGGACTGAAAGTTAAATGTACCGACTCATTTCATAAGAAATCTGGCCAGGAGCAGTGGCTCACACCTGTAATCCAAGCACTTTGGGAGGCTGAGGCGGGCGAATCACCTGAGGTCAGGAGTTTGAGACCAGTCTGACCAACCTGGTGAAACCCCGTCTCTACTAAAAATACAGAAAGCTAGCTGGGCAGGCGTAGTGGACACCTGTAATCCCAGCTACTGCAGGAAGCTAAGGTGGAGAATTGCTTGAACCTGGCAGATGGAGGTTACAATGAGCTCGGTGTGCCATGCACTCCAGCCTGGAGCAGCAAAGACAAAACTCCATCTCAAAAAAAAAGAAGAAGAAGAAGAAGAGGAGAGAGAGGAAGAAGAAGAGAAGAAGAAGAGGAAGAGAAGAGGAAGAAGAGAAGAAAGAGAGAAAGAAGAAGAAGAAGAGAAGAAGAAGAGAGAAGGAGGAGGAGGAGGAGGAGGAGGAGGAGGAGGAGGAGGAGGAGGAGGAGGAGGAGGAGGAAGAGGAAGAAGAGAAGAAGAAGAAGAAGAAGAAGAAGAAGAAGAAGAAGAAGAAGAAGAAGAAGAAGAAGAAGAAGAAGAAGAAACCCTCACTCTCTCCCAACTACTCTGAATCATGCATCCAGTTTATCCTCCCTCCTCAACTCTGATCTGAGAAGTCATGAGGGGCAGGGTGATGAGTATTCAATGCTATTTTTTTAATCCACAATTAGAATCTCTTTAAATTTTCTGCTCTGCCCTTGCTTCTGGAGCTTCATCTCTGGGAGGAACTGAAGAAGGATAAAACCAGAACTTTTCCCCTTAAACAGATTTTGACAACCGTGATGCTATGGGCTTCTAAAGTGTTGCCATGAGTTGATGAAGCTTCTGGACAGTTGATATGTGAACTTTGTGAGGGGGCATCCTGGTGTCTCTCTGATGGATTTTCAGAGTATGAGATATATAGGTTTGAGTCACTGGAGCATGTGCTAGCAGTGTGATGTGGAAATATATTCAGAGCTTATTAACCTTAATTTTACTTATTCTATTGTTCACAAATATGTCCTAATAGTGTGTGAGTTTGCTTCTCTTCTCCTGGATGCACTCAATCTAATAGAGGAACTAGGCTATTGCACTGCAAGCAGACAGATTAGTAGTGGCACAGATGCATGCAAAAATACACAGACAAGACTTCACTCTGTAGTTGGAGCCTCCCTGGCGATTCTCCTGTGTCCTTGAAATTGAGTTGCCAGTTCACTTACACCAGCTAAGGAGTCTGCTTCTCCTCACTGAGCTCTGCCGGAGTGCCCCTGCCTTACTCTCCTGTGTGAGAGTTACATGCTCCACCCCTTCTCTGCTGAATCTAGCTGGCATCCTGAGTCAGATTGGAACATTTGAAAACACACACACTCCCCTCTCTGGGAAAACAATTCATCTGAGAAAAGGGGAAGTGACAATCTTACTAAGGAAGCTGACTTTTTAAAACAGATTTTTTTCTTTGAGTCCTAGTGACTACAGAGGCTTGCATAATGGTCCAGGCTCAAAGGAAAGGTAGCCTGGAGTTTGAGAGCCTTCCCAGAGCAGCCCAGTGTAAACTCCCCAGTGAGGGGGATCAGAGTCTAAGGGATGAGGCGGGTGGGTGGTCAGACCTATGAGCCATTCATTCCTCCTCCAAGAATAGAAACTACAATTCTACATGTTTTGTTTTCAGGCTTAAACAAAAATAATAAATGGGCAGTTTTCCCTAGTGTCCTAATAGGCCGCCTGAGGCACATAAGCATGAACAATAAACCTTGTTAAATGATAATCTGAAAAGGAAAATTGAGACCTTATTCAAATTTGATGGAGAAAACACACAGGCACACTCCCTACTGTTTCATCTTAAGCAGAGGAAAGTTGTAGACCAGGGAAGCTGTAGAAGAACAAGGTACCTTTGAGGGACCACCCAGTATGGGAATTGGGAGCACATTCTATTGTATTGACCTTGTATTCCTGTTTCCCAAAGTGCTGTGTCAGTAATTATTTCAAGGGTACCACACAAATATGTCATTTGATTTTTCTTTCCTGGCTTAGCATCTTTGCTTTATATCCCACAATAACTAAGTCTGAAGGGACACAGATAAACTAGGCTTCTTTAAGAATTGCCTCCTCTTCCATTTTTGTAGATAATATCTCTCTCTCCTGCCCCTTCAAGCATGGGCTATTTTCTGTTTTTTTTTTTTTTTTTGAAACAGAGTCTCGCTCTGTGGCTCAGGCTGGAGTATAGTGTTGCCATCTTGGCTCACTGCAACCTCTGCCTCCCGGGTTCAAGCGATTCTCCTGCCTCAGCCTCCCGAGTAGCTGGGACTACAGGTGCGTGCTACCATGCCTGGCTAATTTTTTGTATGTTTAGTAGAGACAAGGTTTCACCATGTTAGCCAGTCTGGTCTTGATCTCCCGACCTCATAATCCACCCCTCTTGGCCTCCCAAAGTGCTGGGATTATAGGTGTGAGCCAGGGTCCGGCCAAACATGGGCTTTTTAATCAAAGTCAGGTCTACCTTCTAGATAAAGAAATCAAATTTCCTTCTAACTCATCTTTTGGCATGTTCCAAATTTTCACAAATTTGAATCAGAATAATTACCCAAAGCTTCCACCAAAATCCAGCAAACTCCCAAGTGAAGGCTGTCCTTCCAAAATTGTAGCTCCATTCTAACCTTCAATGCTTTGCTTCTAGAAAAATGATTCACTCTCCCACTTCTGGATGGTGCTCTGTTTAGCAGGTGTGACAGCTGCTGTTGATTTTCTCACTTGGCACCCTCCCCAGCCCCTTTCTTTCTTGCCCCTTTCACCGTGGAAACAGGACAAGTTCCACAATGTTTTCCTACTCCCATTCCCAGCCTTCTTTGGCTCTACCAGTGGGGTGTAGTTCTGTCCATAAGGGTCTCATGCAGACATGGTACTGCTTCTGGGAAAGTGGCTTTTTTTCTGACAAATGGGAGACATGAGGTTGGCACCAACCTTTCTTACTTTCTTCCTGCCCAGTGTATATGATGCTTGAAGGTACAGCTACTATCTGGCAATAAGCAAAAGCTAAGGATATTAGAGTGGAACTAGAGAAGGATCTTGGGTTCTTGATAACTTGGTGAAGTTGCCAGAGCTCCATGCATCTTGTATGAATGTCCTGGATTGCCTATGTTACAATGAATAAATAAATAAGCCTATGTATATAGTCATGTGAAGTGTGTGTGTGTGTGTGTGTCTGTGTGCCAGAAACAGCAGGTATTCTGTTAACTTGCAGGCTAATGTCTCTAAGTAGAATTCTAAAAAAACAGAAAACACTAAAAACCAACTCCTTTACTGAGTTCTAAGCCCTGTATAGGAGGACTTATTTTTATCATCAGTCATGTTGCCATCTTCTTATTTTTTCCATTTCACAGATAGGGCAACTAAAGGCTAGGGACCTGAAGCAACTCTACCAAGGTCATGTAGTAAGCTGCTAAAAGCTAGGGAGCAGAGCCAAAAGCTCCATAATCCCAGGCGAGGCCTCCTCTGCTCTCTCTCTCCC